GGTATGGAAATATTTTATACGGTCAGCAGATGGCAGAGAAGCAACTTGTCAAATATGTGACATGACGTTTCGAACAAAAGGCTCTACATCTTCGATAAATAAACATCTGCGAATTATTCATGGCATGATTGAAAATAATACTCAAGCAAAAAAACGCAGGTTCGATAAATTATCTACTCAAAGCAACATTATGTACAATAACGCAAACAAGTGTAAAAAATTAACATTCTAGTAATCTATGCAGTTTAGTTGCATTCCAGTAGCAAATTAATGTAGTTTTTGTATATTTCCTTTTCTTTTAGTAATGATACGCCCGAGAATGATGAATCTTGTAAAGATAACCCCTCTGGGAGACCTGCGAGTTCATCATCTTCGTGTACATCAATACTGAATATTTACCAACAGATGAAATATCTCTGAGCACAATATCGGTTGAATCTAGAAAAGTGCGTTCACAGAAAAGACTTCGAGTATGTGAAAGCTTTGGGGAAATCAACGCTAATTCACGGCCATGTAGTGTAAAGAGAACTGAGCTTCTTAATAAAGCTTTAGTAAAGTTAATAATATCAAATCAGCTTCCACTTTCATTTGTAAATAGTGCCGGATTTCGTCAATTTGTAAAGTTAATAGAGCCTAATTACAAATTGCCATCTAAACCAACATTTAAAAACAGACTAATGCTTGTCTATGATGATATACGCTCGCAAATACATGCAGAATTAAATACTGCCTTGTCTGTTTCTTGTTCAATCGATTGCTGGACTTCTAGATCCCAAGATTCTTACATCACTATAAATGTTCACTTTATAAATGACAAATGGGAAGGAAAATGCTACAATTTAACAACAATTGCAATGAATGAAGCTCATACAAGTATAAATTTAGCTAACCAAATTAACTCTATTCTAAATGAATGGGAATTAACAGAAAAAACAATTGCAGTTGTCACTGACAATGCAGCGAATATGCTACTAGCTATCAAAAATATAAACACTGAAATAAAGATTGGCGTATCTTGTGCAGCCCATACTCTACAGCTTAGCTTAAAAGAAGGCTTAAATAATTCCATAATATGTAGGATTTGCTCTACAGCAAAAAAAATTGTATCTCTGTTCCATCACTCACATAAAGCAAGCAATGCACTTGAAGAATAACAGAACATACTCGGAATACCAGTTTTAAAATTAATTCAGAGTTGTCC